CGCTGATGCAACAATATCCTTGTTTTATTATATATATATATATATATATATATATATATTAGTTTTTAAAAAAATTAAACACTAAACTGCTGAGCTTAGTCTAATGAAACTTGAGTAAAATAAACTATCAAAAATTCCCTAAAGTTAAGCTAACCAACATGTTTCATATTTTATATGCTGTTTATATTATGGTCTGTTGAAAACAGCTAATGACTCCCACTGTGATTTACTGCTTTGCCAACATGAAGATTACTGCTCCAGTGAATATCAGGTACTAATGGTTTCACTCATTTAATTTTATATTTTTAAACTGTGATGATTTTTCTAAAGACATGAGAAACAACTATGTTGTTAGGTAGAGAAAATAAGAAATAAAATATTAAATTTTAACCTAAAAAACAATAGATATTCAATTAGGAGATTCAACAGGTTATGAAAATGAAATATGAAAAATGTAAGAAGAAAAGAAATATTTTTATTATTAGCATGAAAATCTTTCGTGCAGACTAAGTAAATACTTTAAAAATTTAGAGACAAACCTTTACTAGAAATACTTTAACACAAAATCTGATTTTGTGTGTACAATAAATTCAAAAAGCTAACCAAATTTAATGAAGAAACACTGTAAATTCAAAGTTCTAGTATGTATAACTTCACAATTCCAGGGATTGATCCAACAGACCAGGCCACTCACAGGGTTAAAAGGAGTGTGGAAAACAACAGCTACAATCTACTGTGATCTTTGTCATAAATGTTAAGCCTTTTACAATGTACAGAATTTCACAAACCAAATGCAGATAGTATGAAGTACAACAAAATGTTCTGAAACATACAAATAATGTGAACGACTGGTCTAGCTACTATGCAGGTTTTAATGGTTATTCAAGTAGGCTACAGCAGTAGCATTCTGACCTGAGAAAACTCTGATAATAAACAATGAATATTACATAACAGTTTAGTTTGATATTGCCCTTCAATGTTTCATATATTACACAAAAACAAAGAACAGATACTTCCAGGTGCTATTCAGACTGACCTCTTTTGGCTAATTCCAGAGCAGTCCATTTTCCAATTCCTGTATTACCACCAGTGATGAGAATTGTCTTTCCATCAGCTCTCCACTGTTTGGGACAGGACTTTGTTCTATACATGTACCATAAGCTAAATACAGGAAAAAATAAAAAGATTCAGTTGTACAATAACATACATTGCTTTTATGCTGTAAGCACTGATGTTCCAAGTGAATGTTCCAAAAATACAGTAATATTTGTGTAATATATAATTAAAGGACAACAAGGAACCTGCTGGTCCATGTAAGCCATCTCATCCACTAAAGTAAACTTGAAATAAAAAAATTCAAAAACAGTTCTTATCATTAAAGTATTTTTCAAGTCTTCCTTAAAGCTGCTTCCTTAGATTTACTACATCTGCCACATCTGAAAGGCAAGTCATTTCAAAGGATAATCACCCTGTTAGTTGAAGATGATTCCTACACTGCCAAAATTTATATCTGTGTCCACTATAGTCCTGCCATTCCCACCATTAAGTATAAAAAGATCATTTTAAACACCTCAATTAGCTCCCCTTTATCTCTTCCTTTTTCAAGAGAAAACAATTTATAAGATCTTTTTCTGACCTTGTCTGATAACCTTTCCTTCCTAGGTATTATCCCACTAGTCCTCATATGAACCCTTTCCATCAACTCAATGTCTTCCATAAGATAAGACTGAACAAAATATTTCAAATCTAGCCTAACCAGTAACCTATACAATCACATTATAACCTCCTTTGACTTGCATTCAATATAACTTAAAATCCCATCTGTCCTACCACTAACAACAGTAAACTCCTTGAATGGCTTAAGAAGCTGATCAACAAAACAAAATGATCAAAAGTTTACATACAAAATTAAGTTACTGTTGAAAATGTTTTAACACTAATATTAAGCTTCATTACACACTGTTTATGGTGTGGTTAGCACAGTCTGAGATATGTTTTAAACATATGACACAGTTTATGCAGGGCCATACCAATTGTTGATGGCATCTGGTGCAAGAAATAAACTCTTTTTTTTCCCTGCCTCAAAACAACCTAATATATCCTTGCCTTCAAAAATGCAAACGTTATTATTTTCGTATACTGAAAATATATTTCCAATGGGTACTTACCTCTTTTCATTTTGTGCTGGTCTATATATGCACAAAATATGTTGCATTCTACAAGTCTTGAACACCCATGTAACCCACAATCGACATGGTTCAACTGCGTCTTGCATGTAAATCATCATGCGGTAACCCTCCACCAGTAGGAGTGCGACACACCCTCCTGACGCATGTGACTCCCTTTATTCGATTCTGCCAAACTATCCCTTCGAGATTAGGCAGGAAAGAAAAGCACCAGTTTTCAGTGTGCAGGAAGGATGGGAAACGTGAAAGGAGGTAAGTACCTATTGGAAATATATTTTTCAGTATAGGAAAATAATAACTTCCGATAAAGTATATTACCTCCACTCATATGTAAAGCTAGAATCCGACATTGAAAAGGCAGGGGAACCGGTGCAAGGGATGGAAATAAGCATCCTTCAAAATCATCCGAAGAACACCCATGAAGTGTGATCCACGTTGAGAAAGGAACAGGTGGGAGACCGCATCACTTCTGTACCAAGTATACTATATGCCCAGTGTGGAAATAGGTGCCACTCACACGGGTGGAATGTAGGAGGTGCACAGCCAAAAGGGAGTAAAAACTAGGTGGGTTCGAATCTGAACCACAATATACTGGAATCTTAACCCCGGTGAAGGAAGACTGTAGAAGAACCATCTGCAGACAGGAATGTGTGGAAAACTAAAATGGATGTGCTCCAAGGTGTAGAGTGGCTAAGGTATGACAGACTGTATGCAGCCAGTCAACATCAGTCCAAAACCAAGCAGCATTGGGATTACAACTTCCAACCCATGGTATGAGGAGAATCCACACCATCTTCACTTCAGGTTGAGTACAACGGAATTATATACATGTCAAACTGATTTACTAAGCAACTGTCCCTGATTTATTCAGTCAAAGGAACAGCAGGGATGGGCAGCTATCCCCTTCTGCTTTACCTATTGTAAACCCATGGATTAGTATGGTCTGGAACAGGCATATTAATGAAGCAAATATATCACAAGGAAAAAGCTATTAGCAATCTTTTGGGAGATGAATGTATGAGGAGTGGGCCATATGTCTGACTTAAGAGTTTCCTTTAATGGACAATGGAAGTTAGACTCAAAGAAAATGGGAAGGTGCCAGATCTCAAGCAAAGACACCCGGAACAGAATTCGGCAAGAAAAATAGATGGAGGAATAGACCAATCAAAGCAGTTGGCACTACCAACTCATAAGGGTAGACGAAGGAAGGTCAGGTACAGATAAACAGTGCCAGAGAATGAAAAGGTAGAAACAGAAACCAATAAAGAAGGCCATGCAGGCAATGGAACAACAAAGAGCACATACTGGACAGAGAAGTCTATCTGGAGCAGACCGGAAATAAAGGTGGGAACTAGATGGAAGAGAAAATGGCAAGAATGACACTCACGAATGAGAAGAACCAGACTACGAGGATGTCAATGAATCTACAAGGAATGTAAATGGAACCGACTGGTCCTGTTCTGACTGAGAAATCCACTGTCAGGGTCTGAGGATGATGAATTGGAGACCAAAAAAAAGAGGTAACTTGGTTTTGGAGTGAAGTGTCAAAAGCATCCAGACAGGAGTACCTGAAAACCTGAGGGTTGAGAAACAACTCCATGGGATAAACCTGGTTGGGTCTTGAAGGTGAAAAGCACCTGGAACATGACACACAAGGAGATTTATCAGCAGCTTATGGGCCCAATGTTAGACCACAAAGGGAACAGGAATGAGTGCCCCATAGTGATTGAAATAGACCACAACAGTGGAATTGTCAGAATGAAGCATGATGTGTTAGTACTGTACCAGTTAAAGAAAATGAGTCAAGGCATGCCGTACCACCATAAGCTTCAAGATGTTGAAATGGTAAGACATTATGATCTGAGACCATTGCCCAGAAGCCTCTTTTGCTGATAGACCAACAGTCCCCAACCTTGGAGAAAAGCATCTGTGATTCAATGCAAATCTGGATGAGGTGCAGGAAGCAGTACTCCTTTTGTTGTGCTGTCCTTGTTCGACCACCAATGCAGATGGTCTGTAGGGAAGAATGAAGGATAACTGGGGAGTCCAAGGGATCCAGAGCAAGATTTTGTGGGCTGTGCAGAGACCTCTCAAGATCTGACCCAAAGGAATAAATGCTTCCATGGAAGCCCAAGTCCTCAAAAGTAACAAAACCTTTTGTGCAGAAACTGAGAAAGCAGTAAATGAATGCACTATCGAATAGAGAATGATAGGCCTCATTGAGGGAGGTGTTGAAAAATACACTTAAGTGGATAAAATAGTGGGTAGGCAAAATGAAACTTACCAACTTTAAAATCCAGAATCAAGCTGCTACTGTCAGCAGCAGATGTGTGTGTTGAGAAGACTTTAGTTCAAAATGAGCTAACAGGATCTAGTCGTCTATGTAATGGTGTACACACAACCCTAGAACATGCATAAGTCAGGCAAAAGTAAAAATAGTTTTGCTAATTCTCTTGGTGAAGATCATTTAATTCTAACAAATATAGCTTCTTTTCAATAACTTATATGCTACTGTTGTTTATTTAGTGGCCCCAGACCACCTAGAAAGTTTGTGCCTACAGCACTCATTTGGTGTTTCACTTCTTTACAAAATCTGGACAAGTATTTTTCAAATTATATCTAATAGCTGAATCAGGAGTATTAAATCTGAAAGCTTGTCAGGTTAAGCAGTAATGAGTTGCATTACACTGGTTAACTTAACATATTACAGTACATTCAGTGGCCCATGGTCTTCAAAAATGCCACAACATTATATGAAAAATAAATTCATGCTCAATCAACTAAGCATTTTTCAATACATTTGCAATACAATACACAGTTTTAGACAATTTTATAGTATTAGGCTATTAGCTAGGTGATGCAAGTGTGAAATATGTTATTTTCCATGCAATATTATTTTTATTACTAAATCTCTAAGTTTCTATGGTTGTCATAGAATGTCAACAGCAGACAAATGTAGTGTCAGCCAATGTTAATCCAAGCAGGAGCTGGAGTAGCTATACATCACACAAGGCCAAATATCCAAAAGTAAAAACTAGTTTCTTCATGATAGATACCAGTTGGCAAAGGTACAGAAAATGTTACAAGAGTGAAAACAAATAATACATTTTACAGTTTCACAAAGTTGGCTTAAATACAAAAAAAAAAAACATAAAATTTCAAAACTGTTCAAGACATAGATTTATAAAGCAAACATTCAAGTTCCTGTGGGTCCCATGTTAATACTGTAGTACAAAACTACTAAAAAAAATGGTATCGTATGTGCAACAAAAAATAGCATTCACTGAAGCAGAAAAGCTTTATCTGATTTTTAAAAGGATTTCCTTTTCACATACACTGCTGACCTGGACTTGAATGCTAACTGACAGTAATTCATATCAGCTTTTCTCTCAATGATACTACAGCATGTTCAAATTTCTGTGAAAGTTATAAGTAATGAGATAATATTCAAAAGTTGATTCTATAAGGAAGGTTAGAGTGTTCAATTGTAAAGAGTTCCTCACAACAAAGAAATTGAAACAAAATAGAGAACAAATCCAAGGTAAGTTTACTACTTAAACACTACTCATCAAGTAAAGATAAAAATATGAAAATAATCAGCCCAACAACTAAAATATCACAATATGCAACTCAGGACACAACACTAACACCAAAATATCACAAAAATTAGAAATACACAAGAAAACTATAAAAGAACAAATTTCAGGTATATTTAATAGCTAAATGATACCCATAAAGTAAAATAAAGGTAAAAATACCAACAAAAATTAACTGCAACAATTACTAATGGCGTCCCCTCTTCCCTGTCAATCTTATTTTCCTATCCTAATCATACAGCATGTTCACAAAACTCTTCCTGTGGTGTACGAAAGGTGGCCAAGTTTATTCAGACATCTCTAATATCCAAACAGCAATTTGCAAAACTGTTCTTTGACAAATTATTCTGATTGTTATGAACTTCTGAAATGGTTTATT